TTGATAGATGAACTGTCGGACCTTCCCCACTATGGCAGGGTTGAAGGTCCCCTCTGGCGACAAGCTGCAATTAGGAAATGTGGGCCATTCGAGGGAACAAAAGGTGGTTAGGTTTCCTTGGTTTACCTGATAACCCGACTACTGTGCCTCTCCTTGGAAATCCTTGAAGTGGCCTAAAACCAGTTGCAGAGGGGTGTCAGGCTTAGAGCACTGCTGCCCATAATATCAACAGCAATGACAGACACAACCATGACTAACACCAAACAAATAAAGACAATAACACAAATTGAACAGACAGACCTAACTGCCCGAGGGCAATACCTGAGGGCCCAGTGACATCTCACTGGAACCTCGGACCCAGAAATTAGCACTGCATCCAGTCTAACCAGAAGTGTGCACAAACGGAACAGGAACTTGACTCACCTCTCAGAGGACTCTGGGAATGTGAGTCTGCCAGAGATGACAATCAGCTGTTTGTGAGTTCACAGACTCACCAGGCCTGACAAACACTGAGGTTCACAGGTAAGCAGACCCACAAGGTCAGCTGGTGATTAGGGCAGGGGATTAAGCTCTGGATCTCCCGGATGAGCCCCTACATGAAATAGGGACCAAGCACTTAATTCACAGACACCAACACCAAAAGTACAAGTGATAAGAAGGAGAGGTTTATTAGCCAAGAGCCGGCCGGCGACCACTTACTTGCTGGACATGCAAGTCACAAAGCAAAGGCCCCCATTTGCTGTAGGGGCTTGCTTAAATAGGGCAAAACCATATTGGGACTTTCCAAGTGAGCCAAACCGCAACATCCTGGAGGCCTGGGTACCTTCTAAGCAATGCTAGTGGGGTTTACAGAAGCAGAAAAAAGCTGCAAGGTTTACAGAAGTGGGGGGAAAAAAAGCTGTTAAACAATTTAACCTAGCCAACAGGTGCTGTTGCCAGTTTCCAGAAAGGGAAACTTTTAACTGTGCCAAGGTTGAGTACATGCTTAGCCTAATTTTTGACATTTTAGGTGACTTTTTAATCCCCCTTTCACAGTCCCAGCTACACCAGAGGCTGAGGTTCACCTAAGTGCAGGATGTTGAGGCTGCAGTGAGCCATGATTGTGCCATGGTACTCCAGCCTGGTTAGCAGAGTGAGAAAAAAAAAAAAAAAGAGAGAGAGCAAAGTACAGGTGAAACAAGTAGAAAATCAAATAGCAGGTTTAAATCCTATCAAGTACTTTAAAGGTAAAGGACTAAATTCTCCAAATTAAAATACTGTCAGTTTGTATTAAAAAACATACCCAACCATTTGCTGTTTATAAAAGCCACATTTTAAATAAAAGGACCCAGAAAGGTTGAAGGTAAAAAAGGAGAAAACAATATAGCATGCTACTGCCAATAGAAAGCTGATTTTGCTGTATTAGTATCTCCAAAGTTTACTAGGAGGCACAGAATCTTATGAATGACAAAGGGGGATATTTCATAATGGTAATATATCAATTCAAAAGGAAAATAAAATAATACTTTGTGTGGACTAAAGTACCTGGTTTCAAAGCGAACAATGACAAAACTGAAAGAAAAAAGGTACAAATTCATAATTATACTTGGAGATTTTACACACCTTTTCCAGGCATACATACAACAAGAAGACTAAACCTTTAGACAGATACAGTTTTAGAGTGGTAGAAGTGGCCAGGCAACTTAGTTCCATTTTCTGCTTCCTGTCTGGCAGGCAGGCAGAAGGTTCTAGTATAAATGGCGTCATCCCCTCTCATTTCTGGAAAGTGCACATTTAGGAGGAGGATCTCCTCAGAGCATGTATGAGTGGCACAATCTCAGGTCCAAATCCACGTCAGTAAAGTGGTACTGCCTAGAAACCTTTCTGCTGCAGTGTGTATTTCCTATGTCAGTGCAGAAGGGACTCTTGCCCTGTGTCCATTCCTGAACAACTGTATTTCCTGGGATTTGTCAGAACTCCCTCTTATTGCATGCATTTTGTGTGTGAGTTCAGAAGGAGGTGTCAGAAAACAGGAAGAAGAAGAAGAAAACATTGTATTAATTCAAGTAATTTTAGGAACTCTGAGGCACATCTGGTCTGGTAGCCTCTTTTTTTTCTTCCCCAGCTCTGGCTACTGTGGAATCTGCTTCTGTAGGAAAGAATCCCCAGAAAGACTAACCAATTTTTTTTTTTTTTTTTTTTTTTTGCTGCTATACCGTACTTTGAAACAATAGCAGTATTGAGGTATAATTCACATATCATACAACTCACCCATTAAAGTATGCAGTGTACTGCTTTTTGGTATATTGACAGGCATTTGCAAATATCACCACCATTAATAATAGAACATAGCCAGGCATGGTGACTCGGCCTATAATCCCAGAACTTTGGGAGACTGAGGTGAGAGGACTGCCTGAGCCCAGGGGTTCGAGAGCAGCCTGTCTTCAAGTTTTGTAATTATTTCTTCTGCCAGTTTATATCTACTATTGAATCCCTCTAGTAAATTTTTTTTCAATTATTATACTTTTTAACTTCAAAATTTGCATTTATTTATTTTTAATAATTTCTATTATTGATATTCTCTATTTGATACAGCATTGTGATCATACCTACACTTTCTGCTTTAACCATGGTTTTCTTTGTTTACTTGAACATATTATAATGGCTACTATGAATTCTTTGCCTGTTAAATCTAGTTGCCCTCACAGGCAGTTTCTGTTGTTGCTCCTTTTCCAATGTGTGGATCACACATTCCTATTTCTTTACCTGCCTCTGGATTGTGGAACATGGACATTTTGCACAATCATTGCAACTCTGGTAATGTGTTCCCACCTCATGCCCTTGGACTTGTTGTCATTTGCTTGTTTAATTGTGAAACTTGGTACCTATGGAAACCTAGAATAAACTTAGTTTAGTGTAGTCTTTTTGCCTAAGCATAGCCATTTTTGCTTAGACTTTACCCCTGACGTGCTTTGAATCTAGTACAGGTTAGATATAAATAAGTTTCCAATAGGGAGGTTTTATGAGGTGGTCAGACATTTTCAAATTACATTTTACTGCAGGCCAAGCCCACTCCCTCAGCAAATCTTCACCAGAGGCAAGAGGAGGACAACCCAACAGCCCAACCTTTCAATTCATGGTTTAGCATAATAATCTCTAGGAAACTTTCAGACTCCTTGTTGAAGGTCACCCCTTGTCAAAGAGACCTGCCCGGGCAACTTGGCGAGACCTCATCTCTACAATAAATCAAAAACTAGCCGGGCATGGTAGCTCAGGCCTGTAGTTCCGCTACTTGGAAGGCTAAGGTGAAAGGATCACTGGAGCCCAGCAGATCGAGGCTGCGGTGGTGGGAGCATGCCAGTGCCCTCCAGCCTGGGTGACAGAGTGAGACTCCGGCTCGGAAAAAAATAAAAAGATCACCCCTTGGCTGGCCAAAGCCATAGAAATAAGAATAAGACCACCTTTTAGTCAAGGAACTTGTGAATTGAAACTTTGGGAGGCTGAGGTGAGTAGATTGCCTGAGTCCGCGGGTTCAAGACCCGCCTGGGCAACTTGGCAAGACTTCATCTCTACAATAAATCAAAAAAAAATTCAGCCGGGCTTGGTAGCGCATGCCTGTAGTTCCAGCTACTCGGAAGGCTGAGGCGGAAGGATCGCCGGAGCCCAGCAGGTCAAGGCTGCGGTGACCGGGAGCAGCCGCTGCACTACAGTCTGGGCGGCAGTGAGACTCCGACTCAGAAAAGAAAAGAAAAGAAAAGAAAACATCTGACAGGTCTCTTTCAGGAAGAACCCCTCTGGGCCCAAATCCCCAAGTTAACATAATCAGCCCTTCCGTGACCCCTATGTGACACAGAACAGACAGGATGTGCCCCCGTCCCCAACTACCTGGCCGCAATCATGTGATTAACCCTCCCATCTGCCTGCTATCAATTACCTGATGTCAGTACCTGCACCTCCCTCCCCTTCGTGATGATGTGGAGCAGACCACCATCCAGTCACCTTAATGACCTTCCCCTATCAAAGGAAGGGTTAAAAGCATTCACCCTCTACCAGCCAGTGGCTATTGCTAGGCCATTGCCACCTCCATTGCCAGGCCGTTGCCTTGCTAAGCTGTGGTGTGGCCATGTGCTCTTTGAGCTATGCCCCATTTTGGCATTTTACTCTTTCAGTATTTATAACGGTTTCATACCTTTTTTCCCACTATTGATTAATAATGACTACATGGGTTATGACCATTATTCAGTTTCTTTCTTAATTAGTGTTTAGACCCCAAACAGTAATGTCAAACCAGACAGTGCTCAGATTACATCAATCCTTCTTAGTTATGATTACCTTGAACAATTTGGGGCTGCATACTTTCCAGCTGTTTGCAGTTTTTTTGCTTATTCTGGGAGTTATGGTTCACAAGGCTTAATTACACATTATATATAAAATTAATACAAAGATATGAAAGAAAGCAGTTGTCATGTAGAGACTAAGGGGACAGGTACATTTTCCGTGTTTTAGGGAGTTTTAGCAGAGCCTACTTCTTATCTAGGTCCAGCAGAAGCTTTTCCAGGGACAGTTTGTGTGTGTGTGTGTCCTGCTTATCAATGAAGTTGGTTGTTTTCCCTTCAGTACCAGCAACAGTTACTAGATCCAAGGGCAGTGAAGGGAATGGGGGGACAAGGAAAAATATTCTCTTTTAAATTGAAGTGGCTTTTACATTTAGCCCAGCTCAGCTTAATACAAGTTTCTGTCTTTTCTAAATAATTGTTTTAATATAACCAAAGTGGCCTCTTTTCAGTGTGTAATAGTACTAGTCTAGAGTGGAGTCTTTTTCTCATTGGGATGGGATGGACAGAGAGCACAGGTTTGGTTCATACAGTATATACTCTCATACTTCTCAACAAGTTTTTCTAGATTTTCTTGAACATATGTCTCTTTATTTGTTGTATGTTCCTAGGGCCATTTCCAGAGACTTCAAATGAATGGTTTCTGTTTTTGTTTTTTAAATAATTTTTTACCAGTTTCACTGGGGTGCTCCTCATGTTGTCATGCCAGAAGTGGAATTCCATGACTGATTTTTTACAGTTCTAACCATGGATCATGTAAGTTGCTTTTCTCTCTTCTTCATGACTATTTCCTTTTTGTTGATTCCTCCTACTGAACAGCTCTATTAAAGAACCTGTACCACATTCCCATATATTTTCACTTTTTAAAAAATTGGAGTCTCACTTATGATCATGGCTACCACATCCTTGACCTGCTGGGATCAGGCGATCCTTCAACCTCAGCCTCCCAAGTAGCTGGGACTGCAGGCGCACACCACCATGCCCAGCTAATTTTTAAAATTGTAGCGAGGAGGTCTTGGTATGTTGCCCAGGGTGGTCTCAAACTGCTGAGCTCAGGCACTCCCATAGTCCTAGGATTATAGGCGTGAACTACCACGCCTGGCCCTTTTTCACTTTTTAATGAGGACTGGAGTCAAATAGCGTGGTGTCCCTCCTGTGTGCCTGTCTGTTCTCCAAATAATGTTCAGTCTTTTGTCATGCAAAGATATATAGTAGAAGTAGAATCCTTAAACTTTTCCTTGCCATATTCTTGTATAGCGAAAAAGAACAGATGGATCTGTTAAGGAGACATGGGTAAAACTGAACTTCTCTACAAAATTGATTTTCCAGGTAGATTAGATTTGATGTTAACTGGCCTCAAGTCATACAAAATGATTATGATTATAGATTACCAGAATCGAAGAATACCTTGTCTAACCTAAATGCCTAAGTATAATTAAGGCTATTATATTTTTCAACTGGAAGATTATTCTATAGTCACTTAAAAAGCACTTACTAAATAATGTCATTAGAATTAATTTTTATTATATAAAAATGTGAAATAAGGATATGTGGCAATGAATTTGGAGCTGTAAAACATTTTAAATTTTGTTCATACTCTATTTTCAAAGTTATATATTTTTCCTGTACAGGGAAACAAAGGTGTAGAAACTTACCTTTATTGATAATTCATGTCGCAGGCACATAGCATGAAATATGCTACTTTTAATTTAGTTTTTTTTTTTTTGAGTTGGAGTCTCACTCGGTCGCCCAGACTGGAGTGCAGTGGCCGCTCCCGGCCACCACAACCTCGACCTGCTGGGCTCTGCGATCCTTCTGCCTCAGCCTTCCAAGTAGCCGGAATTACAGGCACACGCTACCACGCCCAGCTAACTTTTTGATTTATTGTAGAGATGAGGCCTCGCTGCCCAGGCGGGTCTCGAACCCGCGGGCTCAGGCAATCCACTCATCTCAGTCTCCCAAAGGTGCGGGATTACAGGCTGAGCCACCAAGCCCGGCTCCTACTTTTAATTTGTAAACTGATTAGTTTATTAATTTCTAGACATGCTTGGCTAATTAAGAAATTCCATAGTGTACAGGAACATTTCTCTGAATCAAATGGATTCTTTAAAGATGTAGAAAGTCTGGCAAGGCATAGTGGCTCACACCTATAATTCTACTTTGGGAGGCTAAGGTGAGAGGATTGTTTGAACCCTGGAATTTGAGATCAGCTTTAGCAACATAGCGCGACCTCTTCTTTACAAAAATAAAAAAATTAGCCAGGCACAGTGGTATGTACCTAGAGTCCCAGCTACTCAGGAGGCTGAGGCAGAAGGATCACCTAAGCCCAGAAAGTCGAAGTTATAGTGAGCCGTGGTTATGCCACTACCCTCCAGCCTGGATGACAGAGACCCCAACTCAAAAAAAAAAAAGAATGTAGAAAACCTCATTTGGAAACAGTAATTCCCTTACTTTCCATGTCATAGGCTTCTAGTCCTGACCTACTAGTTTAATATCAGGACCCCTTTCTATAATGCAATTCCTTATTTCTTGTCTTTTTCTCAAAAATACTTCCTCTACTTTTACCTGTAATTATGGGTTTATTGTTTCAGGAACTGGTGACATTCAGAGATGTGGTCATCAGCTTTTCTCAGGAAGAGTGGGAATATCTGGACTCTGCTCAGAGGGACTTGTACTGGGATGTAATGATGGAGAACTACAGCAACTTGGTCTCACTGGGTAAATCTGTTTGTCTCAGATAACTTGAATATGTTCTCTAGAATATCACTTGATATTTACTGAACTCAAGGTTACCTTTTAAAAAGCCGGGCTCGGTGGCTCAGCCTGTAATCCCGCGCCTTTGGGAGGCTGAAGTGAGAGGATTGCCTGAGCCCGCGGGTTCGAGACCTGCCTGGGCAGCGAGACCTCATCTCTACAATAAATCAAAAAATCAGCCGGGCGTGGTAGCGCGCACCTGTAATTCCGGCTACTCGGAAGGCTGAGGCGGAAGGATCGCCGGAGCCCAGCAGGTCGAGGCTGCGGTGGCCGGGAGCGGCCACTGCACTCCAATCTGGGTGACAGAGTGAGACTCCAACTCAAAAAAAAAAAAATAAAATAAAATAAAATAAAAATCTGGGTGAATTTCTTCTTCCTGTTTCCAAAGGTATGATTTCAATGTTGTTGTGTTTCTGATGATACCTCCATTAAGTATTTTTCATGATGTCCTTACCTTCTCAGGCCCTTCATTTAATTTCTACCTTCCTTAATATCAAGGAACTAGACTTGAATTATGGGACACATACAGCATATCATTGAGATATTATAGGTTGAGTATTTCTTAACCAAAATGCTTGGGACCAGAGTGTCAGTATATTTTAGCCCACCAGTCTTTGATTTTTGATATATGCATATCGGATAATTCCTCATGGTGATTTCTGTATATCTTTCACTTGATTCTTTAATCTTTGAATTTGTTCTTACTTTCTGACACAAGCTTTCCCAAGCCTCACTCCATACCCTCCCTATCCCAGACTTGACACTTGAGTTGCATAGATACAGGTATTTTTCTAGTCTTCTGTTTTGTTTTATTTAGCATGTTTTAGTACACAAACTTTTCCCCCCTCCCCTCTTTTGACTCTTGTATTGTCAAAATGGTGGCTTGCCCTTTTGACATGACACTAATATTATAAAACATTTTTGCTTGCTGGCAAAACATTCCAGGACACATCTTATACCTTCCCTGCTTGAGATAATGATTCAGAACTTTCTTTTAGGAACTGTAGTTCAGGTTCATTATCTGGTTTATTGCGACAACATAGGCAACAGGCATGTTTATAATTTTTTTGTTTTATGGGAGGTGTTTGAAAATTTTAATCTCTTTTCAGGAAATTGTTCTTTTTCAAATTTTATGAACTTTGGGGTTAATTCTGAATACTAATTACCTAGAAATTGATTCATTTGTCTGTATTTTCAACTTTATTGGCATAAGAGTCTTGCAACATTAGAAAAATACCCTCTGATGGCTCTTTTCCTTTTGTCGTCTTATTTTTTATATTTGTTAATTCTATTTTAAATATTTTCAACACATTCTTATTCTGTTTATTAATTTCTCCTCTCACCTTTTCTTTAGGTCACTTTGTTCTATTCTGTTTTCTTGAGTGGGGTGTATACATTGGTTATTTTCATTCTTTCGTTTTTAAAAAAAATAAAAACATTTAAATTTTTACTTTGTATGGGACTAATATAGTTGCATTCCACAGATCTTAACTAGAAATATTTTCAACATTATGAGTCTCTGGAATATTTGTTATTTCAATTACATTTCCACATCGACTAAGCAATTATTTAGTTGAGAGCTTCTTTATTTCTAAGTGGAAGTGCTTTTGATTTACTAATACTAGAACTCAAATCTGGTTTTAACGTTTTAGTTTTTTAATTATGCCTGGATTATTTCACCTTTGTTATACATAATTCAGTCACAGGATATTATTTTTACCCCTTATGCAATGTTTATCTGTCACTTTGAATTGTCCTCAGGCTTTACTCTTTTATCTGATTACCAGTCTCCATGTTTACAAAATCCTTTGTTACAAAGTGCCTCACTGTCTGGGCACAGTGGCTCACACCTATAATCCTAGCACCTTGGGAGGTTGAGGTGAAAGGATTGCCTGTGCTCATGGGGTTCGAGACCAGTTGGGGCAACTTGACAAGACCTCATCTCTACAATAAATCAAAAAATTAACCAGGCATGGTGGTGCATCCCTGTAGTTCCAGCTACTTGTAAGGCTAAGGCAGAAGGATCTCCTGAACCCAGCAGGTCGAAGCTGCAGTGGTCGTGAGTGTACCACTACACTCCAGCTTGGGTGACAGAGTGAGACTCCGACTCAAAAAATAAAATAAAATAAAAATAAAAGTGCCTTACAATTTTCCCCACTTATACCACCTTCTCCATAGCATTCTTTTAGCATAGTCTCTTTCACTCACAAGCCTTTGCTCAGAATTGTGTAAGTATAACAATATGATATATTCTGATTTTAATATCTGAAATAATGTGATACTTTTATGGGGGAAGTATATAGGTGATTGATTTTGAGTATAAGAAAATGGAAAAGAATATCTGGGAAAGAGCATGATGGAAAAAAATAAACTGAGATTTCAACAGTATGCATGAGTAACAGTAAAAATGTGACTGAAGAGAAGTAAATAATACATCTCATCTTGATTGCTTTTCTTCAACCCACATGTCAATCATGGCTCTGCATAGATGGAATAAGAAATGGTGGTAGAGACAATATGTATAAGTGGAGAAGCAATTGAAGAACAATTGCTTATAAACATTCACCATATGTATGTATCTTATCATATTACAAATATGTGTGTGTGTGTATGTAATATCACTGCAATATAGTATGAGAGTTGGAAGGCACTGATACTGTTGCATTATTCTTATAATTACATAATTGATTTTATAATCTATTGTTTTCCAGTGACTTGGTTTTGTATATATACTTTTATTCTTACTTAGATCCCCCTTATCTGGTGATTTCCTTTCCTGTGATTAATTATCACATTACTGGGTCTTGTTACTCATTGGCACATTAAAATATATTACATTTGTCCTTGTTGAGTTTAAGGAATAGGGAAATAAATGGCATTTAAAAAAAGAAAATTAGTGAATACACAATTAAAAAAATGAACATAAGGGTAAGAAATTAGATATTTGATTTGAGACATAAATATGAACTTATTTACTTAGAGTCAACTAGTATACTTTTTCTGAGGATAATTTATTTTTAGACCTGAGCAATGAAAAGGAACTGATATACAAAGGGACCTTTTGTGAAAGATGAAACATTCTGTGGGTAGTTCTAAATGATGGGAAGTATATTTTGATCTAGGAGCTGAGCTGAAAAAAAATTAGGAGAAAGAGTACAGTGGATTAAAATGAAATCTTATAAGTAGTACCTTGTTGTCCTTGGTAAAGTGTTTAGATTTTATTTTAGGAGAAAGAAATCACAAAACCATTAGTATACATGGATGATCAAGTTTTTATCTAAGTTAGCATTATCTCTGCAATATACTAATGACCAGTTCTACATCTCTAGATTTTGATTTGGTTTACTTTGATTGGTTCCTGAATATTAGATTGGTTCCTGAATGGTTCCTGAATATTAGAAGCTCACCTGAATTAGATTGATTCACCTGAATTAGATTGGTTCCTGAATATTAGAAGCTCACCAGATGATGATTAACACAAAAATTTCAGATCCACTGCCTTACTCTATTGCCCAAATCAGAGACCTCATAGTTTTATGTTATGCTGTTACTCTCTGAGCTCTCTTTATCTTCTCCAAATTTCATAACAATATTTTAACCAATTCACTTAAATTGTGGACTGTTTTGTCATCTCTGCTTTCTATAACTACTTTACTTTGGTGACACATGAAAAAAGAAATGTTTTTCTTTCTTTCAGATTTGGAGTCCAGGTTTGAGACAAAGAATTTATCTGTAGGAATGGACATTATTGAAAACAATCGTTCTCAGTGGAAAGTAATGGAAAGCAGCAAATTCTGTGGCCTCAAAAATTCCATTTTTAGAAATTTTTGGCAAAGCAAAAACAATATGGAAATACAAAGACCTGAAGTGGAATATTTCAGTCAAATGAAAATAATCTCTGAAAAAGTGCCCAATTACAAAAATCATAAATCTCTCACATTATTACCTCAGAGAACTCTTGACAATGAAAAGTCCTATGAATACAAGGAATATGAGAAGGTCTTCAGTTGTGACTCAAAGTTTGATGAATATAAGAGCACACATTCTGGTGAGAAAACCCAAGAATGTAATGAATATTGGAAAACCTTTGGCATGGATAACTCCCATACACTGCAACTGAATATTCATATTGGTGTGAAACCTTGTAAATATATGGAATATGGAAATACTTTTAGCTTTTATAAAGACCTTAGTGTGCATAAGAACATTCATAATGATGATAAGTTCTATAAATGTAAGGAATATGGAAGGAGCTTTGGAAGAATTGGAGAAGTTACTCAACTTCAAAGAATTCATGGTAGTGAGAAACCCTATGAATGTATGTTCTGTGGGAAGTCCTTTAGAGTGCTTGCACAACTTTCTCGACATCAGAAAATCCATACTGATGAGAAATCTTTTAAATGTATGGAATGTGGCAAGGACTTTAGATTTCATTCACAGCTTACTGAACATCAGAGAATTCACACTGGTGAGAAACCCTACAAATGTATACATTGTGAGAAGTTTTTTAGAATTAGTTCACAGCTCATTGAACATCAAAGAATTCATACTGGTGAGAAACCCTATACGTGTAAGGAATGTGGGAAGGCTTTTGGAGTCTGTAGAGAACTTGCTCGACACCAGAGAATTCATACTGGTAAGAAACCCTATGAATGCAAGGCATGTGGAAAGGTCTTTAGAAATAGTTCATCCCTGACTAGACATCAGAGAATCCATACTGGTGAAAAACCTTATAAATGTAAAGAATGTGAGAAAGCATTTGGAGTAGGTAGTGAACTTACTCGACATCAGAGAATTCACAGTGGGCAGAAACCTTATGAATGTAAGGAATGTGGAAAGTTCTTTAGACTTACTTCAGCCCTTATTCAACATCAGAGAATTCATAGTGGTGAGAAACCTTATGAATGCAAAATATGTGGGAAGGCCTTTAGACACAGTTCAGCCCTTACTGAGCATCAGAGAATCCATACTGGAGAAAAACCTTATGAGTGTAAAACATGTGGGAAGGCTTTTCGACATAGTTCATCCTTTACAAAACATCAGAGAATTCATGTTGGTGAGAAACCTTATGAATGTAAGGAATGTGGAAATGGCTTTAGTGTGAATGGACACCTTACTTGACATTAAAGTATTTATTCTGGTGAAAAGTCATTTGAATGAAATAAGTGTATAAAGGATTTTTGGTTTTGATGTTCATTGGAAAGCCCTATGGATTTATAACTCATCATGGAAATTCAATATCTCTTTCCTTCTTTTAAAATTTGTTTTCAGACTTCATGGCCATTCTGTATTTAGAAGGTACAGTATGACTGTTGATATATACGCACAGCTTTCTTAGATAGTGCCAATATTTTTTCCTTTATTTATTAATTAACATTCTTATCTAAAGACATAGGATGGTCCATATTAGTCTATTTCTGAAATGTGTGGAATTCATGTTTCCCTAATTATTAGTGATTTGAATTGCATACGAGTTTCTTGTCCAGGCATGTTTTGTTTATAATAACTTTTGGCGTTTATATTTTTGCTTTTGCCTATTCTTGTTTTAAATTTATAATATTACTCCAACACCTTTTTTACATTCTAATTCTTTGTATTTTATGTATGATGTATTTATCTTCCTCCTGAGAGTTACAACTCCCAGTTAGATACAACATAGTTTAAAGTTCATGGCCCTACATTGTGTTTGTGTGATTTTCTTGTTTTATTTTTTATTGTTTTTGTTTTAGTAACAGATGTATAATTACAATATCTTTTCCATTTTTAACAAATGGTTGCCTTCTCTTTAGATTTCTATTTTGTTTTTTCACAACAGATTCTACTAATTGTATACCATATGCCAAGTCTTTAAGGAGCCTTTTCATCTCCAGGCCATACTAGCCAGAATCCAAATGAAAGGAACACTTTTAAATATTTGAAAAAAATTACTAACCCAATCAGTATCCTAAAATGTATCATTTGTTAAGCACCTAAAAGGTCACAACTTATATTAATAGGATCTACAATTGTATATTACCATGATTTCAATTGGTTTTTTATTTGTTATTAATATGATTATGTTCTTCTTATTTACTCTGAGTTTCTTTAGTAGATTTGAGCAGTTCAACAGTTGATTTTTGTAAATCTCACCTAACTCCAAAATCATCTCTCTTGTAGGACAGCTGAGCTAGTTGTGTAACCACTGAGTGATGCGCACTGATTGTTAGATTTTTATAAGAAAATTTAACTATTATGCTTAGATAAGTTTATGCCACCTTCATTTACTAGATTTTAATTTTTGAAATTGGTGTGTTTCCCAGAATTTATGTACTCTTTAAAGTTTTGCATGATCATCAGTAGCATACTATTTTTTTATTTGATATCTTGAACTGTGCTTTCTGTGTTACTTATTTAAGTAAGTTCAAAAGATAGGTAGTTGGTAACTATTTCATGTCCTGCACAGTAAGAGCATGAGTCCCTGTTATGAACCTTTTATTAGGTTATTTGCTATTTTCTATCTTTGAAATAGAGTACTGAGCTGTACTTCTGAATAATCTCTATTTACTAAGCTATATTGTGACCACCACTGCAGATTCACTCTTGGATGCCACTCTGAGTTACCTCAATGCTAGTTAATGTTCCTCTTCTTGGGTATAGTACTTCAGGACTATTTGTTCTGTGTGTTTCCCACTTCTGGTTTAAACAAATTAAAACTATGAAATGTCTAAGATTTATATACAGACATAAAATTAATGACAGAAACAAAATAACCATGTGTCTTGGCACTTAATTTTTTAATTCATTCGTGAATAAATGATAAAGTAATGGAAAAATATATCCTTATTATGTTTCCCTTTTTTGTAATTACAGCCATATTTTAGTCAAATTACAGTAACATTCTTCATTGAACTTTGTTATGAACTTGTGGCGTTTTGTTACTCCAGTAAATCATAATATAATTGTTGGTGGTGGTATTAGTTATTATTCATGTTTTTACTACCATTTGGTGCCCCAAAATATTAAACTTTATTCTTTAATCCTTTTGGAATTTACCATAGCCTATGTGGAAGCTTTTCCCCCAAATTCAAGATGTTCCAGTCCTATCCTGTTTTTTGCTGTTCTAAACTATTAAATTTGCTACTCCCTATGAAGGAATTCTGGTTCTATTTAATGGTGAATAGCATTAAAGATTAATGTATGTGTATTAGGGATGCATGTACAACCTGTAGTTGCGATTAGTTGAATTGGCCCATTTCAGAAAATCTCTGTCCGTGTTTTTCCTCTGCTTTTACACAGCTACTACAACAATCATCAACACAAAAGAAAACTTCTGTAACCAAATATATGGGGGCTTTTCCACACACACCACACAGCAGACACTAGGTGGTTGTCCTCCAATTCAATTTTGACACTACCTACCTGGAGCCAGTGCTAGATCCCACAGGTTGTGGGCTCAGTCCCCAAGACTGTACCTTCCCAGATACCAGTCACAAATCTGGGCCTCCTGAACTTCTGACCAGCTGGCTTCAAGTTGGGGTTCCTATGACTCCCTCTTTGGGTTCAGATAATTTGCTGGATTAGCTCACATAACTCAAGGTAACATGTATTACTAGTTTATTATAAAGTATATTGCAAAGGACACAGATGAAGAAATGGATAGGTGAGGTATACAGGAAGGGATGTGGAACTTCTGCACCCTCCCTGGGCTCGCCACCCTCTGGGAACCCCCATGTGTTCAGCTATCCAGAAGATTTCTGTGCACAGTCCTCTGGGGTTTTTATGGAAACTTCATGATGTCAGCATTTCTTCCTCTAGGGATCCTCTCTTGGGAGACTCTTATGCTTCATAGTCATAATCAGAAAGGCAGGGAAAGATTAGAGTCTTGCATTGGGGCAGATGATAGGAGAGCAGGAGAAAGTTGGAGAAGTTCTATTTCCCAAGGTCTGCTCCTGAGGCCTGACACACCCAACATTATAATAAAAGATTGTAACGGGCTGTGGGAGTTATAGTCCAAGAAGTGGACAAAAACCTACAGTATACATGTGTACATTATACACTATATATGTATACACATATGGACATATATATGGTGCCAAAAAAGTATACATTTTAAGAGATGATTGCTGTAATCAGAAGTGTCTGGATGCTGATGGTAACCACTTTGAGCACCTCTTGTAATTGTAGAAGTCTAACATGACTTGTATTCATCTTATTGAGTATTATAATTTTAACAGTTTTTTTTCTTATGTATACATTTTTGGCACCCTCTCTAAATACACAATATATATACATTTATACATGTGTAGTATATTATATATATATATGTATGTATGTGTGTGTGTACACACACACACACACACACACACACACACAGAATAACACCACATTTCCCGTCCTCCCAAATTTATGCCTTAACCTGCAGTGTGATTTTATTTGTGACTAGGGCATATGGATGTGGTCCTAATCTGATAGGAATGGGGAACTTACAAGAAGAGGAAAGAGATCTCTCTCTCCCCATGCTTGCACACCAAGGAAAGGCATGGGAGAACACAATGAGAAGATAAGCTGCTACACGCCAGAAGAGAGTCCTCACCAGAAACAATCTGTTGCCTCCTGTTGTAGCCTTTTTCAGTAGACTTGAGCAGTTTTGGATAACTGGGGTGCTGCTGTAACAAGCCCCCAAAAATGTAGATAGATGTCCAAGCTTTGGAACTGGGTATTGGACAGAGACTAGATGACTCTTAGGTGGTTGCTAGAAAAATGGAGGCTAAAGGAGAGTCAAGTGAGAGCTTGGAAAGGCAATAGGACAGCTGGAGAGAAAGCTTCCAATTTAAATACTTCATAAGTGTGAACTTCATAAATAATTGGAAATGTTGATAGAAATATGGACATTTAAGGTCACAATGAGGTCTCAAAAATGAGTGGTTTACTGTAAACTGTAGAAGAGTCAATCATAAAGTAGCAAAGAATTTGGCTGAATTGTTTTCTAGTGTTTTGTGGAAGGTAAACTTGTGAGCAATGGAATTGGCTATTTAGCAGAGAAGTATTGAAGGTGCAGCTTAAGTCTTCCTTATTGCTCATATAAAATGTGAGATAAATTGAATTATTAAGCAAAAAAGAAACTGAGACATGGAGATTTGGGAAATTTTCAGCATATCTATCCTGCAAAAAATGAGAAAGCTTGCTCTGAAGAGAACACTAAGAGTGTAGCTGAACAACCATTTGATAAACAGGTCATAGGTGTGTCTTATAGACTTGAACCACCATTCCAGCAGAAGCAGGAAATATGGGATGTAGGGGATTATAACAGCAGAAATACAACTGGGACTAAAATGGACAGAGCAAAAATAGGAAAGAATGACGTTGGACATCTTAGATTGTATGACACAGTACTATAAAGCTATTCAGCTGCAAGCCTGCACAGTTCTACAAAAGAGAAGAGTGATTCTGGTGGGAATTCACATCATTAGGGCTACCTCCTTGGTTTCAAATGGTGAGGCCACAGGTTTGGTTTTAACAGTTCAGACGCTGTCCAGAGCTTTGAGAGCAGTGCCACCCAGAACCTTGGGCAAAGGAGGCACAGGAGGGAGTGGGTGGCAGAACTCCCAACAGAATCACATGGATCAAACTATCACTCCAGTGAGTCCTTGAGGTGGGATCCTAAGCCCTGAACATGGAAGTTGGAGCATTGAGTCAAAAAGACTTGTTTTTAAGCTTTAAGATCTAATGGATTTTACCTTGCTAGATTTGGGACTTGGTACACCTCTTTCTTCTTTCTCTCTTTTTTGAACAAGAATGTCTATCCTGTGTCTTGTCGTATTTTAAAAACACATAACTTATCTGGCATCACTAGGTTATAACTGGAGATGCATTTTGCCTCAGGATGAATCATACTTCCAGACTCACCCATATCTTATATAGATGACATTTATCTAAAACTTAGGACTTACAGTCTTTAGCACTGACGATTACATCATCAGCTCTAAATTCCATAAGTTGAGACTTTGGGGTTATTAAGATGGAATGAAAATACTTTAAACGTGTATTTATTGCAAATTAGTTCAAAATGAAAAGTAGACCTAAACGAGGAGTGCAAAACTAAAAAAATTCTAGAAGATGGTATAGGAGAAAATCTAGGTGATTTGGGGATTGGCAAATGCTTTCTTAGATACTACACCAAAAGAGTGATTCACAAAAGAAAAAAAAATCACATTAGATAGACTTCATTAAAATAAAAAACTTTTGCAGTATAAAATGTATTGTTAAAAGAATGAAAAGAGTAGCCACAGAATGGGAGAAGATATTGGCAAATATATATCTGATAAAGAACATAAATCCAAAATACATAAAGAACACTTAAAACTCGTCAGTAGAAAATAACAACCCAATTTTAAACCACACAAAAGATTGAACAGACACATCAAGAAGATATGCAGGCAGCCAAAACATGGAACCAATCCTACTGCCTATCAAAAGCAGACTGGTTAAAGAAAATGTGGTATATGTACACAATGGAATAGTACGCAGCCATAAAGAAGGACAAAATCATGGACTTCTCAGCAAATTGGATGGAATTAGAGACAATTCTTAACAATCTGTCATGGAAACAACTGAATACCACATGTTCTCACTCATGAGTGGAGCCTGAACATCACTCATAATAGCACAGCTGTGGAACACTGCCAGGGGAGGGAGAAAAGGGTAGGGTGTAACAACATAAAGTGTACCTGATCCTAAACCAGGGAAAATGAGTACCAGTTGGAAGTCCAAACTTTACCTGCACATAGATTACTTATGTACCTAATCTTGACTTATACACCACGTCTTTAAAGTATCCAAAAAAGAAGAAGAAATGCAGGCAGCAAATGAGCTTATGCAAAGATGTGCGGTATCATTCAGCATTAAATAACTTCAAATTAAAATAACAGTGAAATGTCAGTCCACACCTCTTTAAGAAATGATTAAAAAATTTTAAAGCCGACTATCAAAGGCTGATGAGAATGTGAAAGCGACAGGAATTCTCATTCATTGCTAGTAAGAATGCAAACTAGTATTGAAGAGTGCAGGAAGCGACCAGAGGAGCGGCTCCCAAAATGGCACCAAGCATGGTGAGGACACACCAGACAACAAAGGCCCTGGTCCCGACTTCTGTGAGCACAATTCCCCGCATATGAGAATTTCAAACCTGCAAGCCTCCAATCCTTAGCTAGCTTTGTTATGCGCCCAATAGGACTATAACACGGCGTTGGCCCCACCTTACTCCCATGCAGCTCCTCCAATAGGAACATAGCATGGTCCCTTTCGGCCCCTGTCAGGCTTATAAATACAGCCCTCTCCCCATAACTCTCTCTCTCTTTTTCTTTTTTTCCTCCATTACAGATCCTCTCTGTAACAGCCCCTTTAATAAATCTCTTGGTCCTGGCCAGTGTGGAGTCATTGCTGGCACCGAAATTCTTTTATTGGTGCCGTGACTCGGATCGGGTGCTCCCTCGCCTTTGCGCGGGTGTATTCCCATAGGCAGGATCCCTGACCCGGTGCCAGTGGCCACTCCAGCCCTCCCGGACCTTCCCCATCATTTTGGATGCGTGACCTGCATCCACTAGTGACCATTGGATAGGTGAGTTCCCCAGACATGGAAGCCTGAAACTTGCCCGGGATCACCGAGGGGAACTGACCGTTGATCGTCCGGCAGCCCCTCTGGCCCCAGGGCAAGGGGGAATGCACCCTGCCTCAGCCTTCATGGCCACAGTGGACCCTAAAGGCTTCC